ACGGGCCCGAGGCGATGACCAGAGGCCACTCCGGCTCGCGCGGCCGCAGCACGGGCTCCGCTCGGGCTCTGGCGGCCCGCCGAGAATGGTTAAAATCTACCATTATTGTGATGCTGTTTATTTCTTCTTCAGTTCTGTTAATCATTGTTTTATGTAGTTTGTAGGACTATCATTTAGTGTGTAGATGTTGACCAAGGTTATGTCTTCTTGATCTATTGTGCATAGTGCCCTTCTTGAACTTCATGGTGGTTTTTACCCTAAAGTCTATTTTAGCAGAGATTAGTATTGTCACTCCTGGTTCTTGCGAGTGCCATTTGCTTGTTACATTTTTTTCCAGCCTTTGATTTTTATTCTTTTCCCTAGTTTCTTTGATTTGTCTCTTGTGTGTAACAAGATGGGCTATAATTTTTTATCTATTCTGATTTTTCCCTCTTAATTGTTCCATTTAAGCTATTCACATTAATGATGATTATTGTTACTGCAACGTGTCTCCTTATTTCCTGATTGCTGGTACCAAGAGTGTTAATTGTGGATCCCAGTAAGATCAAGTGGTTGACAATTTCAATCTTTCTGCTATCCATCATGATATTTCCTATTGGTCCAGTGATAAGAATCTTTGTTTTCTTGACATTGAGATAAAATCCATACTGAATGCTGCATTCTTTGATCTTCTGCAATACGTGCTTCAAGTTTTCCTCACTTTTAGCCAGCAAGGTTGTGACAACGGCATAACACAGGTTATTGATGAGTCTCCTTGTGATTCTGATGCCACTTTCTTCTTCATAGAACCTAGCTTTGCAAATTATTTACTCAGCATACAGATTGAATGGGTGTGGAGGGAGAGTATACACTGATATACCCACTTCTTAATTTTAAACTATGCAGTGTTCCTTTGCTTTGTTTGCACAACAGATTCCTGGTCCAAGTAGAGGTTTTTGGATGAACTCTGTGATCTGAATGCTCTGAGAATCTCATTTTTCTCAGTGGAAGCCACAACTTGTTATGATCAACACAGTCAAATGCCTTTGCATAGTCACTAAAGCACAAATGGACATTCTTCTGATATCCTCTACTTTTAGCCAGGATTAATCTCAGCAATGATATTCCTAGTGCGATAGTCCTATCTTTTTTTTCTCTGTTCTTTTTTCTATTATTTATACTGGTTTATTGACAAAGTTCTTATGCATTGTTTCTCCTATTTGATCATTCCCATTTCCTTCACTTCCCCCTCCTACCCACCAAATTGTGTGACCTTTGATTAACATGCCACCTTGCCCATCCTCACCCCACTGGTCCCCCCACCCTCCCCTTAAGTCTTCCTACATGTTCTATAATATAATTATACAGTCTTTGTCCTTATCGGATGGAGCTAGTTCATTCAGCGCTTTAGTCCTTCCCAAGTTAAGTAATAATTTTGTGTGCTGCATAGTATTCCATCATGTGAATGTACCATAATTTCTCAATCCATTCAATGGTAGTTATATATTTGGGCTACTTCCATGTTATTGCAATGGTGAATAATGCTGTTATGAACATTAGTGTAAAGTCTCTGTTTGGCCCTTATTTCTTTTTCTCTCCAGGTATATTCCAAGCAGTAGACTAACTGGGTCATATGGAATTTCTATGTTCAGCATTTTAAGGAAATGCCAAACTGCCTTCCAGAGTGGTTGTACCATTTTACAATCCCACCAACAGTGTATAAGAGTTCCTATCTCTTCCTATTGTTTTTGGTGAAACATTCTTCTAGGTCGTATAGCCCTGGTGTGTCCACTTGCCGTACAGAGGTAACTTGTGTTTGCTGTGAAGCTGAACACTGTGACACTGGTGTGTCAAATACGATAATGGTTGCCCACGGTGGACACTGTTTGGTGGTGCTCCCTGGTTAAAACAAGCTTGGAAGCAGGAGTGGCATCCACTTCCTTAAATAGCTTACCTCTGGAAACCCTATGAACCTGGAGAAAGGATGAAAGTCACCTAAGTGTCAAGGACTTTCGTTCATAGGATCGCTATGAGTCACCTATGACTCAACGGCACTTAACAACAGCAACTCTCCACATCCTCTCCAATATTTATTACTCGCTGTAATGCTCCTGGAATGAGATGGTATCTCATTGTGGTTCT